AAAACACAAGCAAAAAAAGAGTAAATAGATTAAGTGGACTTGATTAAAAAACAAAAAAACTTCTGTGCTGCAGATGACATCAAGAAAGTGACAAGATGATGCACAAGATGTGAGAAAACGTTTGCTAACCATATATCTGATAAAAGATTGATATTCAAAATATATAGTGGTAGTTCATGCCTATAATTCCGGCATTTTGGGAGGCTGAGACAGGAGGATCGCTTGAGCCCAGGAGTTCAAGACCAGCCTGGGCAACATGGCAAAAACCCATCTCTACACAAATACAAAAATTAGCCAGGTGTGGTGGTACACGGCTGTATTCCCAGCTACTTGAGAGGCTGAGGTGGGAGGTTTGCTTCAGTGAGCCATGTTCATGCCACTGCACGCCAGCCTGGGTGACAGAATGAAACCTTGTCTTAAATTTAATAACCCAACTAAAAAACTCGGGAAAGGATAAAATAGACATTTCTCTACATAAGACACATAAATGGCCAATAAACACATGAAAAGATGCTGAACATCATTAATAGAAAAATGAAAATCAAAATCATACTATTTCACAATGACTAGGATGGCTATAGTCACAGAGAAGATAAAAAATGTTGACAAAAATGTGGAAAAGGTGAAACCCTCATATATTGCTGGTGGAAATGTAAAATAATGAGGCAGCTTTGGAAATCATTGAGGCAGTTCCTCAAAATGTTAAAAATTAGATTACCATACAGCTCATAAATGTCACTTCTGTGTGTTCAAGAGTAATGGAAAACATGTCCATGCAAAAACTTGTATACAAATCTTTATGGCAATATTATTTATAGTAGTCCCAAAGTATAATAAGTCAAATATGTTTAACTCATGAATAGATCTGTGGTTTATCTATGCAATGGAATGTTATTAGGCAATACAAGTAATGAAATTTTGATACCTGCTAAAACATTGATAATTCTTAAAAACATTATGCTAATAAAGGAATCCAGTCACAAATGACTGCATACACATTGTTTCTGTGTATATGAAACATCCAGAATGAGGCAAATAGTAGAAAATAGTTTAGGGGTTGCCTAAGGCCACAGAGGGCTCTGTGTTGGTTTTTTGTTTTTGTTTTTTTGAGATAGGGTGTCCTCCAGTAGCCCAGGCTGGAATGCAGTGGTGCCAACTTGGCTCACTGTAGCCTCGACCTCCTGGGCTCAGGTGATTTCCCACTTCAGCCATCTGAGTAGTTGGGACTACAGGCCTATGTCACCATGCCTGGCTAATTTTTTGTATTTTTTGTAGTGATGGGGTTTTACCATGTTGCCCAGACTGGTCTCGAACTCCTGAACTGAAGCAATCTGCCTACCTTGGTCTCCCAGAGTGCTGGGATTACAGGTGTTAGCCCCATGCTTGACCTTGAGTTTCTTTTTGAGATGATGAAAAAGTTCTAACATTAGATTGTGGTAATGATGGTACAACTATGTTAATATGCTAAAAATAATTAATGACATGTGAATTACATTTCAAAAAAGCTATTGTCAAAAAAAGTCATGGTTCATCTTCTACTCCTGCCAGCAAAGTATATGAGATTGCCATTGCCCAATGTAATGTTCATTAACACAAACTAACAAATTTTTCCACTAATAGACTAGAACAGTGTCTTTGGTAGAGTTTTTCTGGTTCAGCTGAAAGAGATTGAACTCCCAGTGCGCATTTAATATAATGACCTTTTTGGTGGTCATTACTAGAGTGGGGAATGCTGGTGGCATCGATTGGGCAGAGGCCAGGAATACTGCTAAGCATCCTGTAATGCATAGGGCTGCCCCCACTCCAAGTAATGATCCAACCCAAAAAATCCGTAATGTCAAGCTAAAAAACCCTGGGCTGGGGTCAGTTGCTCATGCCTGTAATCACAGCACTTTGGAAGGACAGGTGGATCTCGAGATCAGGAATTCCAGACCATCCTGGCTAACACAGTAAAGCTCCATCTATTAAAAATATAAAAATTAGCTGGGTGTGGTGGTGCATGCCTGTAACCCCAGCTACTCAGGAGGCTGAGGCAGAATTGCTTGAACCCGGGAGGTGGAGGTTACAGTGAGCCAAGATCACACCACTGCACTCCAGCCTAGGTGACAGGGCAAGACTCGTCTCTGGGGAGAGGTGAACCCTGAACTAGTAATGGCATCTTGTTTTAATTTATTTTATTACTATTAAGGGTAAATTTTCCCTATACATATACAATTCAATTGTATTTCTTCTTTAGTAAATTTTCTGATCATTTTCATTTAGCTCATATTTCTCATCAGTTCATATGAGTTCTTTATGTTAGTAGAGATATAAACAATTAACTTTATTTACTAAGTTTATTTGTCTTCCAGTTGTTTCCTTTCAAATTTTGGTTAAGTTCATATTGATTATCAAAATGTGTGTGTGTGTGTGTGTTTTTAATGTGACCATACTTTTTTTTGCGTTGCATCTAGCTTAGAAAATTATTTCCCTGCCTGCCTATCTCCCTTCCCTGTAATTTCACTTTTATTTCTTCTTACTGGAATTTAAAGTTTACCTTTTCACATTTAACTTTTTAAATACATATAGGATTTATTATGTACATTACAAGATAAGAAATGTGGGTTTTTTTTTTTTTTTA